CTTTTACTCTCTTTTCAAGCTCTTCTGCCTTTTCAGCATTTGACTCGTCTAAACCACGAATTATCAAATTATTTCTGCGACTTCTGTTTTCCAAGTTGTCTACTCATATGTGAGGTTAATTTGGTGTCGAACCTTAATATTGTTGTTTTCATGCCGTTTACTTGATTGGTTACCGCATTCAAACTGTTTACCTGTCGCTCTAGTCCATCAATCCAGTCAGTTAGCTCAGTCATTTTCTTTTTGATTTCATCTTGCGTGGAGGATACACTCTGAATTGTATCGGTTATCTTGCTAAACCAGCCAGAAGTTTCAACAGAATCTCGCTGTCAGTGGGACCCAGATTCGACTCAACATCACCACAGACCAGCAAGTTTCGCGGCCACGAAATGACAGCAATAACGAAATTCATCATGCATTTCACACGTGGTTGGCAAGGCAGCAGCACTGAAAAGCGGTCATCACTTCGATGACGATCACAAGGTAAATATATTCACTAAGCTGTAGCGTGAAGTAAAAAGGGTTGCTTAGCATGTTGCCAGTTGTGCTGCCGCCAAGCCCACTAAGAAAGTTCAAAACTGTCGGCGCTTTTAAAGCTTCAAGACGATCCACGTGATGTGACGTAGTAGATGTTTGCACAAACAAAGATTCGGAGACGAAAGGCCCAAAAGGCTCGACGATGATGCAGCGATTGCCCAGGAAAGAAGATTCGGAGCCGAGCCCGTCACTCCGGTTCCTGTTTGAAGTTCGGTAGCAGCCATACGATGCCGGTTGGTTTCCCAGTAGAACTGCTACGACCTGTAGCGTGAAGTAAAAAGGGTTGTTGAGCAGGTTGCTGGTTGTGCTGCTGCCAAGCCCGCTGAGGAAGTCTGGAGCTGTCGACGCTTTTATAGCTTCTACACGATCCACGTCATATGACGTCGCATATGTCCGCACAAACCAAGACTCGGAGACGAAGGGCACTAAAGGCACGATGACGCAGTGATCGCCCAGGAATACCATTTCAACACCATTAGAAGCAGCACCGCAGGCCTTCAAGGTATGGGTGATTTGCCTTTCTGCAGCGCCGCAACTCTCCAGAGCTGAAATAAATATATCATATTATAACTCGGGAAGTTATGGATGCCTACCACATCATCAGTTGGGGGAAGCAACTGCGTTAGCCAAGCGTCATTGGTATCAGAAAAATAGTTGGAATTCCTAAGTAGGACGATGAAGGTTCCGCTCGTGCCACCGTAAATGGGGGACCTGCTATCATGGGGGCTGTGTGCTGGACGTATGTGTGAAATATTTTCTGTTTTGTCTTCGGGTTTTTTTTTTTAGGGGCAAAGCTCCTTAGAGTCTAGCCTTGTCCGGCGTCTGTGCTCACATTGATTGCCATCCCGTCTGTCTTTTTAAAAAAAGAAAAAATGTTTGCGCAATCGACAGGATTTGAACCTGTGCGGGGAGACCGCAATGGATTTCTAGTCCATCGCCTTAACCACTCGGCCACGACTGCAGGACGAGTAGGGGGCTCTGAGATGTGGTAGTAACTCGAGAGCTGGGGATGTCATGAATGAAACGTTGCATGTAGCCGCTCAACGTCGATACAGGAGAGGGCGCTGCGGTCAAACGCGTATATAATCGCGTTAAACTTTGCATGCATTGGCTCAATGCTTATAGACGAGAGGACGCTGCGGTCAAACGCTCAAATGCGTATATAACCACGTTCCATACCACACATTCTCTTTCTGACATGGATCGTTGACTTAAGCGGTGGAGATGCGTTCCCACGGCTTCTAGCAGATCCAAGCTGATCCGCTAGAAGAACCACTGGCTCTGCATTTCACCGACCATAAAGCAGTAATAATGAAGTCAAAACGCAACCCGGAACTCAGCACTACCTATGAGCATTAAAAAAGAAATCAGCATCGTCAGCACTACCTATGAACAAAATCAGTATCATTGGCACCACCAGAGCTTCGCCCCAATCAACATCATTCGCCATGTGGGGATGCGGTCATTTTTTGTTTTATTTTATTAAATAATATAGTTGTGAGTTGGCGCCTGTCCAGTCGTGTATGTTTCTTCTCTTTGTCCTTGTCTTTAGCATTGTTCTCCCCTAATCATGTACATAGAAAGCTGACTTTCACCGAATGGGCACTGCACAGGTCGTTCTTACCGTGTAAAATTTTGAGGTAGTTCTCTTTCTGTAAAAAATTAGAGTAAAAAACTTGCAAAGTCCACATTAGGCCTGTTCGCCGATGACCAAGTTACCGATGCTATTAACTTGTGGCGCCATATCCCGATAGGTGCAGCGAGCAGACAATGCACTTTGTTGTCTGCTGCTTGCAGAGAACTGCACTTTGAAATTTCACGTGGTAAAACTGATCTGCACAACGCACATTCCGTGAAAGTTTGAGCTTTCTGTGTGTGGGTGCCAATTTTTCCGGCTCGTTTTACAGTGGAAGGTCTGCTTGGGCCACCCTATATTCATTGAACCACGGACACATTGATTTTTAGGTATTACAGCAAAATATTGCATTTGCATTTTAGAAACTATCTTTAAAAATCAAGATTTTGGGTTGTCGTAATGGCCATGAGACACCCTACGGCAGCATGAGCAACGAAACGTCAATGGAACTATGTAAAGAGGTTGAACAGATTCAGCTTTATGTAATCTTCAAATAATAAATCGGGAGTGATAAAAGCATTGAGTTATTTATTGGTGTTCTTCTATTAGTGAGACATCACTACATCACATGATTTGGATGCAGTTTCGGTTTCAAACACATCCGGGTCTTCTGTTGTTTGGTAACCTTCGTAACTATGCGGATCGTCCCTCTGCGGTTCGTATACATTGTGGTATGCAGTTGCAGAACCTCATTGCAGATCAGAATTTTAATAAAACATAAAATGAAGCAATAAAAAATTATTATCTCAAGACGATTCCAACCCAGCACTTTGCAAATCAGTAGCTCAGGAGGGACGTGCACGTGCGCATCCCTCCTAAGCTACATTCGTTTGTGGCTGTTTATTTTCACGGGTGTCGTCTGAGGAGGTTGTAATGGTTGAAGTCTTTCCACGACCGGCTTTATGGTCATGAAGTTTTCATTAACTTTCCTTTACCACAATCTTCCTCAACAGTAGCTTCACATATGCTGCTGCTTAAGTATGCAAAGGCGATTAATTTAGCTTATATTTCCAGCCTTCTCGTCTTTTTCCTGCAAGCGGATCAGCACTTTTCTGGTCAAAACGAGAATGTATTCGCGGCTCGTCATTTGACAATCGTATCGAGATGTGACTCGAACAATCGAAGTTGCATACATTTTCCTCAAACTCTCCTCTATAGCACGGCATACAGTGTCAATGTAGGCTCGAAACCTTAAAGCCGACCGTGGTGTAATAGGCGATGCAGAGCTCCATCAGGATAGCTATCTTACGAGTATCTGACCCACGGTGATCTGAGCATAGTATCAGACATCAGGGCCCGTTTGCTCGAAGCGCTAATCGCGGCTAAAGTTAGCCGCTGTACCTAGGAGAGGGATTTTTTTTAAATCATGTGACTGGCTCGGTAGGGATGCAGGGAAACATGGCGGTGCCCCAGTGAGTGAGCGCCGCTCGCTTTGGAAATGATATGTCGTCGTAGCTGCAATATTGTGCGCGTTAGTCAGCAACGAACGGTGCAGGAGGCTTTCGATTTGCTTTACCTCACTTGAACCGCAAAGCATGGGCAATGACATCGCCACATGCGCCGCTCGCTTTGGAAATGATATGTCGTCGTAGCTGCAATATCGTGCGCGTTAGTCAGCAACGAACGGTGCAGGAGGCTTTCGATTTGCTTTACCTCACTTGAACCGCAAAGCATGGGCAATGACATCGCCACATTTTTTTAGATAGTCTTTTGATTCTGGGCATTCCTAAGCCTAAATGAACGCGATAATTGTCGGCATGGCAACGTCTGTGGAAAGCGGATTGTTGATAGCACACAAAAGCAGACAGCGTCCCAACAGACCTTGTTTCTAAATTATCCAAGCACCGAGGTGCATGCTACGACTGTAGTTGCACGCGTCGCACGTGCTGGCGTCTGCAGTAGTAACCGTTCTAAGCAAAAAGTATAAAAAAAATTTTGCCTTGCACGCACGTTCGTTAAAGCCTTATTATGATTTTTTACTTTGAATCTTTTATAAGGGGAAGGCCAGCGCACGTGGACTGTAGAATTACACTTCCAGCGTTCTCCTCGCGATGCTTGGATAATTTAGAAGAAAGTCTGTTGGGACGCTGTCAGCTTTTGTGTGCTATCAATACCCGGCCGATTGAGTCAAGGCGATCCGCTTTCCAAAAACATTGCCATGCCGACAATTATCGCGTTCATTTAGGCTTAGAAATGCCCAGAATCGAAAGACTATCTAAAAAATGTGGCGATGTCATTGCCCATGTTTTGCGGTTTAAATAAGGTAGAGCAAAGCGAAAGCCTCCTGCACCATTCGTTGCTGACTAACGCGCACGATATTGCAGCTACTACGACATATTATTTTCAAAGCGAGCGGCGCTCACTCACCGGGGCACCGCCATGTTTCCCCGCATCCCTATTGAGCCAGTCACGTGATTTAAAAAAATCCCTCTCCTAGGTACGGCGGCTAACTTTAGCGGCGGTTAGCGCTTCGAGCAAACGGGCCCAGGTGTTATCCGTTCACTTGGGTGCATGATGTCTATACGGCACCGCTGTTGGAGCAATATTTAAATCTCTGGCTTTGTTCATCAAGACCGATGTACATCACCATCTCGCGCACACAATAGAAGTTCCCTATTGGTTACCTATTGTGACAGACTTGTAAAACTGAGGGGGAAGCTCTCAAGGTAACTAAAATTATATTTTTTACACTAGCAAATGTATCTGGACGGTCGGACGTGGGTTGTATAATAAAAGAATAGACATATAGCTCAGAATTTCGGAAAAACATTTCACGACCCCTTTAATTTAAGAATGTGAGCAATGTTTGAAAACATGCTCACTTTTACAGGAGCAGCGGGAGCAAGTCCAGAGCATTGAGGCACACGTGACAGCTGCAGATGAGAATGTGCAGCAGGGCACGAAACACCTGATCCGGGCGTCCCAGCTGCAGAGGACTCTACTGCCTGTGACAGGGGCCCTCCTAGGATTGGCCCTGGGTGGACCAGTGGGCATGGTGGTCGGAGCCAAAATGGCGTTCGGCTGTGCTCTTGGCGGCAGTATCCTAGGTGTGCCTTTGTTCCTGTCATGGTTTCTTCTTGCCTTTCTTGTTGTCTAACTCTGAACCAGCCTCTTCCTTTTTTTTAATAAAGAAAGCTGCTTTCTGGATCATGGACCACCTCTCTAGGGCTTGCCCAGAGTTTGTTCTTCAAGTTGTAGTGGCATTGTGTCATGGCTTGTTTTGTTTAAAAAATCAAAACCTTGCTCTTGGGAAGCTGAATCTAGCCACGGGAGTAGCTGCCCTTAAGTTAATTAACCAGTGTAAGTTTTGTTGTTTAGATTTTCTGTCTGAAGAATTGATGTGGCTTCTGTTCAGACAAAAGGCAAGATTACCAGATATTAAAGAGGCACATATGGGTTTTTCTCAACTGGATCAAAAGCTGTTGGTTTGAAGATTAAAACCTTCGAATTAAACCTTATTGGTCTGCTGCAGGGCACTAAGCACCGTTCTCTGCCAATAGACTTATTCCAAAATTTGAGGCGCCCCATCGTGGCGTTGGCGCAGCATGGCCTATGTTGCTTTTTGTGCCATTAAACACCTAATAATCAACCCATCGTGGCAAAGTGCCATATATAGTGCTCTCTGGGAACTAGGTAGTTGTCCACTCAGTTTCGGTTTCGATTGAGCTGCTCTCGTGCCTTAACCGAATGCGCTGCTCATATTTTTGACAAAGGCTCGTTCCCACAGTTGCTTAGACTGCATTGCACAGCACTGCGTCGTGCAGCGCAGCACCTCCCCATTGGCTCGTCGTAAGGGTCACCATAGCAACAGCTCGATGCAAGCAGTCTTAACGCAGTCAAACACAGCTGTGTGAAGGAGCCTTTGCCCGACTCCCCACGAATGTACAATACTCTAAGCATTCTCGAACAATATAGAAGAAAGACCGGGGCACTTGGTTCCCAACATGCCGGATATTGTGCGTGCATATGCACATAGTAAAACATGGCTTGGTCACCTGACCCCACGATTGTATTTTTCAGCTCAATTTCACTAATCCTGTCTCATACCGGTGAACCACGTGTTTTGTTTGCCAAACGTCGGCTTCTAGTTACCTCGTTGAGCGAAAAAAAAAGCCACATCCTCACTGGATACTCACAGTTGAGCTCGAGGTTGGCGCATGAACTTCTAGAAAGGCTCAATGAATTTGCAGTCACTCTGCACAAAGGTTGCTATGAAGTCTTCCTCGTGTCATCCTATATCCCCCACTCAAATTTTATGCTGATTGGAAATTAAGTTTTCGCAAACACTTAGATAGGCTATCTACGACAGAGGCCCTAACGGCATTCCCTACTCCTCGCTAAGCCTTTCTGGACGAGCCTTTACCGACACCCAAGATCTGTGTCTGAACGGTGGGTCTGAAATTATCTCGGCATAGTCAGTCAGGAAGAAATAAAAACAAATCTTATGGTCATTAACAACCGTCAAATCTGCTTGGAATCCTTTAGTTAGTTTGGCGCACCGCAGGGCTTCACGCATGTATACATGATGTCTGGCGAACAGTGCAACATTCTTCACACAAGTGCTCAACTGTTGCTTTCTTTAAAACTGTTTGCATGTGCAAATGTGCCTGTATGATTGCAGAATAACTTCATGCGCATAAGCAATATTGAATTAGTAGAATACAAGCAGGTGGAGACTTACTTCATGCAGTGCTGCGGGTAGAGATAAGATGTGATTTGATTTTAGCTTTTCAATGGCGTCTTCGAGTTTTACCTTGCCTACTCGGGCGTATTAAGAAATATGGTAATTTCAAAAAGACAACTTCCTCAGTGGACGCACAAAACAAGTGGCAAACTTGCTGACCAGCAACATAATGTAAAGGTGCAAGCTCGGTGTGTGCATACTTATTAGTTGTTGCAGCATGTTGACTTTTACACAAGCAAGATCCTTGAGCTTCCCAGCATCAAGATTCCCATCACTGGATCGTCCACACACCTCAAAACGCTAACAGAAAGGCTCGAGTACAAAAATACAAGCATGTGTCAATTGACATGCCTTACGAATGGTTTGGGCTTTTGCTGAAGCTTCGAGGTCTGGCCATTTAGGTTAGTTTAGACACCAAAAACAATGTGCTCGGGACGAGGAAACATGAGGTAATGACTGTTTATAGTCCACACTCTGTGTATGATCTCTTGCTGATGTGTCAATCAAAACCGAAACCACGCAGCTCTCCTTCCTCGCCAACTAGTTCCCAGAGTGCAACGCGCTGTGTTGCATGCAAGGATTTATGGAAGTAGTCTATTCTTGGGCACCAGAAGATCTATGAATTGGCTGTGCAACGAAATAAACTCCTAAAGGTTCTATTCTGTCTACCAACGCAGATGCCGAACATTACCCAGCAAACTTGAGGAAATCGATCACCAAAACCATTAAGCCTTAAACATTTAACTCAATTTTCTTTGTGAATTTTAAGCTTAGTGGATTCGACACAGCGCACAAGAAACGAAGACAAAGTAGAAGGGTGTATACACAACAAGCACTTACTCTCAACTGAAGTTTGTATTGAAACAAAACACCGGAAGTAAACAACAGCATTCCACACCATCATCTCCAATTCGACACGTGTCGAGATAACAATTCTCTTTGCTTTGTAGAATGACTGATGTTTGGCTTACACATTGCCCAGTCCCTTATTTTTTTATCGTGTAGGCCTCTAAAATTTCCGTAGTCATCTGATCTCCCCCATTTCCAGCAATTGTGACATGATGGACCCGGGCTGGCCTCCACAATCTGCACAATGAAGTAGCGAATGCCCCCCCCCCCCCCCCCCCCCCCTTGCTGCCGACCGCAGAGACCAAGCATGCTCACGCGATCTTTCATTTATACATTGGCCCGTTTGGCTAACGTATACCTTGCCGCACGTCAGCGGAATCCTACACACGACGCCCATCGTACATTCCACATTTGTTCCTATGTTTGAGTGAGCAAATGCGCTTGGATCCACTTTTGTTGGCAACTCTTGGGCACAATTGAGCAAGTTTGTTAGGTGCAGAAAACACCATAGGCACACCATATCTCTGCACCACTTGAGATTTGGGGATGTTTTATGAAGGTAGGGAATGACTATTGGTCTCTTGCTTAGCCTACCTTTTTTTTTCTGTTGCCCTCCCCTCACTTTCTTAAGCACTGACTTAGCAACAGGTACCAATAATGATGTGGGGAATCTGGCCGCAACCAGTTGCTCCACCTGCCGGCCGAAACTGGCATGCATTGGTGGCACGATTTCTCCAAAGCCGCAAGTGGGCAAGATGAAACAATGCTTTTTATGATTAGTATGCGAGGAGTCGAAGGAGAGGAGACCCTTTTTTGGTTGTGGGTTATACGACAAACGGACATGACTGCCCGTGAATTCTAACCGGAGGTCTAGGAATTGTAAAAAGCGACCATCCCAAGGTTTGTGCGTGTGTGAATCTAAGCCCCTCGAAGCACCATGCGAAAACATCCAAAACTGCCGTGACAGTTTCCTTCGAAACACACTCTGACACTCTTATAACAATCAGGTAGTCGTCTACATATCGAAAGACTTTGCATACTTGTTCATCATCTAGTTGGTCGCAGATGGCCAAGTCGCATTTGGCTAAGAAAATGTCACATATCACGAGAGCCACACAATACCCAATACAAATGCCTTTTTGTACGTAAAGGCTACCTACCGTCACACGTGATAAAAGTGGATTCGAGGTAAAACTTTAACAGCTCCAAAAACCAACAAACAGAAACGCCGCAAGCATTCTGGAAGGCTATCATGCCATTCCTTTCTATGCATTTACGCACCAAAACAAACATGGCACCGTGGGAAAGCAAACGGGTTGATGTATAAATGAAGGATTGCGTGAGCACGCTTGGTCTCTATGGTCATCGGGGGGGGGGGGGCACTTGCCCAGGCAAACTTCGACTGTGGCGCCCCCTCCCTCTTTATACGCCCCTAGCTATATCCATTACACTGTTCGTAAACCTGTGAGTATGGCCCACCGTGGTATGGCCCAACACGAGCATTTTGTCAGACAAGAACCGCATCCCAAAAACAAACGACGATCGAGCATATGGCGTCCTGTCGGGCGCCATGTTCAAATATATCAGAAAAAAAAAAGTTCAAAAGGGGGGCGCGGCAGCGCGCCCCCCTTTGTATTGGACTAGGGAAATTTTAGAGGCCTACACGATCGAAAAAGAAGGGACTTGGCAGTGTGTAAGCCAAACATTGTTCATTCTACAAAGCAAAGACAATTGTTATCTCGACACGTGTCGAATTGGAGATGATGGTGTGGAATGCTGTTGTTTACTTCTGTGTTTCTTTTCAATAAAAACTTGAGTTAAGAGTAGGTGCTTGTCCTGTGTACACCCTTCTACTTTGTCTTCGTTTCTTGTGCGCTGTGTCGAATCCACTAAGCATGAACCAACTAGCCCGCATCGACCCTAATTTCAAGCCCCTGCCCAAATAAAAAGCTAATAAACTAAAACATCAAAAATCTGTTGTTGTTTTTTTTTTTTTTTTTTTTTTGTTTATGGGTTTTAGAGAAATCCGGCAAAAGAGCATCAAAGAAACCTTATTTAGTAACAGACTTGGGAGCATTCACTTGCACTGCTTAATTTAATCCCTTGCACCGCTGCTTCGTTATAGGTTTCACAGGAGGCAGGGCCCTGCAGCGAAGAGGACGTCCCAAAGATGACACTGTTGTGGAGGTGGAGCTGAAGGACCTTTCGACAAAATCAACACTGTACTCAGACTCTAGACTACCCTCAGAAATGAGTCGGTCAGCACCGCGATAAGTAGGCAAGTTGTTCCAATTAATTAGAGTGAAAAGACAATTGTAAAACTGATTTGAACCTGTACTATATACTTATTATATCAGTAAGAAAAGCTGATTATATGGGTTAGCAGTGATGCACAAAAAAAAAGCCCAAAAAACATATTTCTTGAATGTATATGGAGTGTATTATCTCCTTCCTTCAGGTGCCACTATAATATGTGTTAATTTAATGAACATCTCTGTCATTTTGCGTAACTGGTGATTTTGCGCAACTGGTCTGGCCAGGTATGAGCCAAGTGATTTTGCACAACTGGTCTTGCTCACCTATGGAACTTTTTTTAGTGCTGCTTGAATGTTCTCGTTTATAAATTGAACAAAGTTGGAGACTCAATTTAAAGGAATGCTGAAGCGGTCTTAAATGTGAGAAGAAATACTTGTACCTTGTTAACTAGGCTTCAGCCATTACGAATACCATATTCACTCAATCTGTTTATGTGCGGATTAGCCAGAAAAAAGCCCTTCAAAGTAGCGCCGAAACCACACCCCTCCGAGGTAGAGAGGAGGAGGCCCATCGGTCGATGTCGCGAGGGGACCGGCTAGGGGACACCCCTGGGGCTGGCCGCATTTTTTTCTTGTAGGCTGCTCATGCTGACGTTCAGAGCCATTGTCTTTCTTCCGCTGCATAGGGCTTGCTTTCATCCGTTTACCGGTTGTGCTATTCGTTCAATCGCCCGACATGTTTATTGCTCGCTTGTTCATGGGATTGTGAAATTTCCGTGGCACTGAAGCGGCTAACTTCTATTCCCGTGTAGCCGTCAGCTGCACAAACCGAGTTTGGCGCCGTTGCTCCTTGCGCTTACCACCCTTTTCACGCCGACACCGACATGTCAAAGATGTGGGTTCCGGCTATGCAAACAGGAAAGTTTGGGCCCAACAAGCCCACAGTTTTCTATTTGGAATGTGTTTCAGACGGTGCATACGGAAACAATGTAGTGGTTTGGTTTTGAAGAAGTCTCGTCCGAACCCGACACTCTGCCGACTATTATAGCTATTATTTTATTAGTTGTGAGGAGTAGGTATACTGAAAAAAAACAAAAACGTAAGCATGTTGCCGAAGAGTGGAGCTTCCGTCGGCTATTTTGTGCTAACCGTCTGATATTAGTGTTGTTGTTGTTTTTTTATTTCTTTCCGTGCCGCTGAAGAGGCCATACTTCCCGAACTGACTCCGCTATCCAAGATTTTTTATCTTTCTAAACATCCTTGTTATCTTATTTAAAAGTGGTGGGTTTATTTTGCAAAAAAAAAAAAAAAATTGGACACACAATTCATTGTGCTACTTTCATGGTGCAACTTAATTTTAAACTTTTTTTTATAGTTACTTGCTCAGGGCTTATGGAATTTTTTCCTTAAACATAAACATACATTTTGTCATAATCTTTCTCTACTTTTTTTTTCCCATCACATTCTCCTCGGAGTGCTTTTTAAAATTAAAACGTTTGCTACATTCTGTTGCAAATTTACCTTTTTTTTTCTTTTTTTTTTTTTACAAGTTATGCTGTTTGTCATGCCAAGATCGTCCAGAGTCGTACACGGTTCATTTGAGAACTTTAAAATTGCCCAGTTTCTGTAATATTTTGCAAAAATATTAGCTTTGGTGTAATCTAGTGCGTCGTGGAATGGTTCTATGCGGTGCAAGAATGTCATTGGACAGACGATAACACACAGTGGTGGTCTAATGCAGCCAAAAATTCTTGAGACATGTATGTGAATGTAGACGCCCAGAAAGCTTTCATCACTATCACGAGGATTTTACATGTGCTTCTTTATTGCCGATGTCAAACACGGATGGCTCTTCTGCGGAATTATTCGTGTAGTCTAATACCTCTGTGAGATGGGCGCCTTGCATGACATTTACACTAATGGCTTTTACGATTTGAAAATGACATTCAAGATGAACCATTTGCTGGGGCGCCAACTTTACACAAACAAGGACATTGCGCTGATGCGGCCTCATTTCGGGGGAAGCTCTCCTGTCGCTCCAGAAAGGGCTCTTTAGCTCCAGCGTTCGTGAACAATGCAGCCTGCACACTCACGTGTCATTGTCAAGCACAAAGGCCGAAGGGGGCCGAATTCCTGTCCTCTTACAACCGTTTTGGGGAGAGCCACGGTAATCAGGCATGTCGCGTCCCGCCAACAGCACTCCGTCTACTGTCAACACCAACACTTTTTACGTTGCAATAAGTAGCAGTTAACGTTTTGGCATGTCTGAAGCGGCTATGTCGCGTGGCTATCCTTCGGCACAAGCGGCTCCTCGCAACTTCCTGCATCACTGGGGGGTCATTTTCTGCTCTGCCAACAGCTAGAATGTATGCTTTGTCATGCCGAGGCTTCTCTGGACATGTGCCCCTTTGGGATAAACGAAAATATCTTAAAAAATCGAAATCCGAGCCCAATTTACAGAAGTATCCGCGCCCGACTACTTCCGCAAATGACGGGGCAACCAGGAATTGAGAGGGTCCTTTTATGACATTAGTGGCGCGTCACGCATAACGAGCCAATTGCGTGCCGCTGAAGCAGTCGGATCTGTTCTGTTTGTTGTTGTCTTTTTTTTTTTTTTTTGAGGGGGGGGGGGGGGGGAAGGGGGGTTTAAGGTTTATTTTGGGTCAAACGGTTGTGATATTTGAACTCGGCAGGCATGAACATATTAAAATCAACCATTAGCTAATTGTTGTTTTTTTTCGAAAACCTCTTCAGCTTTCCTTTAAGCGTCCAACATGCCCAAAGCTACTCACTTTTGTGCAGTTTGAAGATAGACAAGGGAACTCAGTTTCAGCTTTTAAAGTTAAAATGGCTCCCATAGGAACGTGATAATTATTGCTTAAGGGGACGTGCACCAGGGGAAAACATTTTATTATTATTATTATTTACGAAAACTAAACAAAAATTGCACAGTTTATAAGTGCTTGATCTTCTCTTGATAAATCAGGTACTCAATTTTATATGGCTTGTTTTTGGTTTTTTTTTTAATGTTCTGGATGCAATGCACATGCAGAAAAAAAAAAACATGTTCTGGTGTGCACGTGGGGCATGGCAACACGCTTGCTTAAAAGAGCCTAGTAAATTAAACTAATTCCCTCATTTTAAACCACTGAGTCCAATGAACAGCAAAACTAATGTGTGCTAGACTTTATTTTAAAATTAAAAATCACAAGAATGCCATTTTTAAGAGGCTAACAAAAGTTTCTTGCATTTTTCATCAATATAAAAAATGCACATTCTAACCAAACCTAGATAATTTCATTCTACGTATTCTAAAATATATGCATGCCAAATTAGGTTGTGATGGACAATATTAAGATCAAAAATTCTTGTTTGCAAACTATGTAGGTACTCCAAAATTACATAAAGAGAAAAATATGTGTGAATATTTCTATAAATGTGTAGTGATGCTCTTTCGCGGCGGGAAAAACAATATTTTGTTAATATTTTTTTGTTGGAAATTGAAGCTACAGAAGACCGATAAAGAGGAGGCGGCTAGGCCTACTTCTCGACATAAATGTGATGACTGGCGGTGTCACAATTTGAAGAACCATGCTCTTAAAAATGGCTCAAATTTAAACCATTCGGGGTTGCTGGGAGTTCTTCAAATGCGTACTTCGCTGAGTTTGCAATCATCACCAGGACTAATATTTTTATACATCAAATATGAAGATTCAGAAATAATAAAACACTAAAACCTCAAATCATATTTTTTTGCAAAATACAGTATGGCTGTTTTTTTTTTTACCCGCAGTTCAGCTTGTAAACTTGTTAAAAAAAATGTGTGTAGGGTATCTGCCCGATGTGACATGGGACAAGCAAGTGCCTACGCTATTATCTTGTGGTAACTGACAATCACTGCTCATTTACTTTTTTTACTGCACTTGTGTGAATAAAATACCTGGAATTCTTCAACCGAATTGTGAGTGCATTTGTTGCTATTAGAAACAGAATATTGACTATCTTGATGTAAAAGCCAGTTTAAATGTAGCGGTTTTTTTTTTTTTTTATTTTGCGAGGAGCAATATTACCAAAAACATTGGCATGTAGCAGTCAACATGAAGCCCACACTCTGTGCCACCTGTGTTCTTAACTTTTTTGTGTACAGTGTCGATCAATTTTGTTACCCGAATTGAATAAAGATTTTTTTTAAGCACATACTTTCGAAATTGCAGAGGCGCACAATGCCGGTAAGGTTGCATTTTAGTCAAATGAGCACACATTTCACGCGATTGCGGCTCAAATAGAGGACATACAACCAAAATATTACATTTCTAGATTGTTTTTTTCTTGTAGACGACTAATATATCTAAAAGAATTTAAAAAATGAAAATTTACGAAAATGGTTTTTTTGAGAAAATCGACCTCAAACTTTCAACATTTGTTATTTTTCACAACGTTTACCTGAAGCTAGCGGAGCGGCTACTCAGCAGATCATATTCATATTATCACATCTATAATGTGCTTGCTTTGGGCTTTATATGGAGCTAAAGAAAGAAAATTTACCTTAGGTACAGACAAAGTAATGACCTGTCAAAGTTGACCGAAAATCTAACTGAGTGACGAGTTTGACATTTTTTTTTTTCAGAAAGCAATAAAATTCCTAAAAATATTTAAATACATGAAGGTATCTTTATAGTAACTATTAAATGAGGGGGGAAAGCTAAAAGAGTGGAGAAAAAAATAGCACCAGCAGAGTGTGTCAAACAAGTCACCTGCGACGGCAGGAAAAAATATCAGTTTCTGCCACTGCGGCTTCTACGCTGCGTAACTTGAGAGCAAAAAACCTGTGCAACATGCGGTTTGCGCACTCCATTTCAGAAATTCCCCCAAAACATGCATTTTTTTTCATAAAAATTAACAAATTAGATCCTTTTAGCCTGCCTGATTTTAATTGGATGGAATTATATTAGTAAAATGCGCGACCCACCAGTAAATTACAACAGCAGAAACACATATGCACAAAGATATTAAAAACTGAATTTCGATGTTTAAAAAAAATAAAAGCCGCTTTTTCATGCAGAACAGTGTTGCGTAAATAAAGCCAGGTATTATAAATATAAAAGCCGACCGAACTAAAAAAACAAGTTTATAAAAAGGCGCGTCTTACTGGGCCACTTGGCCAACGTGCAAAATGAATCAAAGGGAAACAAAACAAAAAAGATAAAGCATTTCCTCCCGAGAGCCGAGGCGCCTTGGTGTCTGGTGACCGAGCGGCGGAAGCGCACGCCGACGGTGGCGAGTCGCGCCCCCGCGCACACCAGCGTCAACGCGCCAACTACGGTGACAGCACGAACTATATTGGAGTTTGAGTGAGGATCTGTCATTAGTTACGCAAAACTATCGATACATTTACCATTGAGATACTAGCGATACTTTTACGATAGTCGACTATCGACTTGTTACCCGGGAAAAAAAATGCCGAGTCACTGGGCTGCGGACTCATGCACAGCGTCTGATATACCGCACAGCAGAGCAACAGCGCATGCTCAGAAGGAGTTCGAAAGCCGAGCAGATGAAGATGGCAGCGCGCAGAGGGCGATTTTCGCAAAGGTCTTTCAATGGTTTTTCGATAGTCGACCATTGATAGCACTATTTATAGTTTTATTATAGTCGAAAATTGATATCACTTTCAAGGGTTTTTTTTTATAATGTAACTTAGGCCTTTTCGGAAGTATACTGTTGATAGTTTTTCGGAAGTGCATGCTAACGATAGTTTCTCAGAAGTACACTGTTGATAGCTTCTCGATGATTTACTGTCGTTACTTTTACACCCGTGTTTGATTGTATCGCTTTTCTACAGTTTTTTTTTATGTTTTGTTATTGTTCTTTAATAAGCTTGCTGAAGGTTCCGTCGCGAAATCTTATGAGCTTGAAAATATTTTCTGGGTTGCCTTTGGAGTTCTTAATTGACTTTTCAATTACTATAACTAACTTTACTAAGGTCTATTATCAATGGTACAATATCAATATTTTCAATAACCGAGTGCTGATAGCACGCAATTGATAGTTTTGCGGTCAAGGAGGATAGAAGGGTAGGAGAGGGCATGGCGTCAGCCGCGTAGCCGCCACAAGCCATGCTCCCTTGACGCCTAGCCTCTTTCTCATTTTTTTTCCTTACCCTCCTCACTTATCAGGCCAACGCGACCACATCACGTAACCGTAGCTAGCCTTCGTCTAGCCTTCGATCTGATAAAACATACCAGACGGAGCGCGCGCAAGCCTGAGGGGAATCCTTCTACAATCAACGATCCATCTCACACATGACAGATCACGCGCACCAATTGCCAGAGAGATCTACGGTCACGTTGGCCACAACATCGTTTAAACTTTTTATGACTAGGCTTCACCAATATTGCAACGTGCCCCCTCCTAGTACTTATAACTTCTTGTTTGCGGTAGTCGACCATCGATGGTGTCATCGATAGCTCTTACGGTACTCGGCTACAGATGTGTCGATAGTTTGGCTACACATGTACCGACAGTCAGCGACCGATAGCATATTGTCGATAGTTTTATTATTACATACTAGTGACAGTACAGGGTTTCAGTAGATCGTGTTCGCGCTCTGATAACAATCGATGCGGGTGCAAACACAGTCAGCGATGTAACGCGTATCGTTTTCAGAGCTTAAGAAACAGGGGGGTAAAGGTGGGTGAGGAGGAGTGGCAAATCCCGTGCGCCGACATCCTGGGTCCCGAGTGAACGAACGCAAAAGAGAGCGACAGAACACGAGAGAAAGAAAGCAACGTTGCCATGGTAACGCGAAGAGTGAAAACTCTTAGCAATATAAACAGTGATAATTTAACGTTGTAAACTAAATTATGAGCTATTCTAACGCTTATAAAAAACAATAAACTCATTACGCTGCATTAACTTCCCTTCTGTCGAAATCTCGGAAATCTGGTGGTTGCGCAGTTTCGTATTCCTAAACCGCGCCCAGCCGCGCCCCACACTGTTAGCGAAAATGTAATATTTCGCCTGTTTACACCCCATTTTCACTCGTTAGCATATTTTTACACGCTCTGCTAGTGATAAATCGTCAAAAAATTACTTGGGGTAGTAAAAATTGGTGTTTCGGTTTCGGTTTACACGACTAGGCGTGTAAGCAACACTGAAAACACCCCAGCCCACTGATCTCTATGACAATTGCTGGATCGCGTTTGCCCGCTCCGCGAATGCGGTCACTGGCGGCCATCTTTAGGTAGAGTTATATCACCTCTAGCCAATGTAAGCTGCTGCAGCCGCTATCATCCATCCATGGCAGATAGCGTTTTGGCAGGTGGGTTGGCAGGCTGCGGTCAAAATAGCGTGGGTGATATTGCGTGCTTGATTAAAATTATTTGACGAAACATGTTTTTGAAATCCGGCGTGAACAGTAGTCCGGTTTTTGAGGACCTGGTAAAAGTTTCACAAAATCGCAGCACCGGGAGAAAAGCAGCACAGCACGTATCGAAAGTCGCATCGAAAGAAGCATCGAAAGCAGACGACGGTACGGAGTCTGCTTTTGATGCGAGCTGCGCTGCTTTCCCCCGGTGCTGCGCTTTCGTAGAACTTTTGCCGGGTCCTCAAAGATGAGGCTACCCACTGATCTCTATGTCTATTTGCAATTGTCATAGAGATCAGTGAGGCTACCGTTCACGCCGGGTTTCAAGAATCTGCTTCGTCGAACTACTTCAATCAAGCACGAAATGTCACCCACGGTACCGTGTACTAGATCTACGGCTATTTTATGGCAGACTGCCGCCATTGCGCTGTCCGCCATATTACTATGATGGCTAGAGATGATATAACTCTACCTAAAGATGGCCGCCAGTGACCGCATTCCGGTCCATAGGAGGAGCTGGTCAAACGCGATCCAGCAAATAGACATAGAGATCAGTGCCCCAGCCCAACACCCCAAAACGTCGAGCGCCATGTTGCTTCTGCCTTGAAGCGGTACGGAGGACGTAGCAGGCGAAGGTGAGTGTTTGATTTTTTTTATCAAGTTTGTATAGAATGTAGCACGTCTCAGATTTTTATTACATGACATTCAAGAACGTTAGATTTGCTTTGAGCAAGCCGGCTCAGGCGTTAAGCCCGATTCACACAACCGGCGTTTAGCCACCCCGTCGATTGGAAACGACTCGACTGCTCGCCGGTTCTTTTGCGCGAGCTTTCGCTCGGGCGCTGTGAACCCCATGAACTGTGGTGCTCAAAGCTAGCACAATTAGGCACGGCTAGCGTCCCGGTGGAAGCTGCAGAGAGCGGAAACCGAAGACACCGTCGCATAAGAGTGGCGAAGCCGCGATCCTGCGCTGATCGTTGTCCCGCCGCTCTCTCCGGCAATATCGGCACTTCGCTGCTGGGTGTCTCGTATTTCGACGTTTTAGAGAAACTTGGCATTGGCAAGCGCGAGGAGTCTCTATATCGTTTCCTCCGTCGCCTGCGTGGAGGAAACACGGTGGCGATAGAAACATATGCTCATGCAGTCAGTCAACTTGGACAATCCCCCTGTTCCCTCAATCCTATCGCATTCTTTGACTGCGTTTGTGACAACAACGTTTCCCCAGTGTGAAAGCTTTCAGTCACAACGGGCTACAAACTGGGTTGTGCATTGCATGTAGCCCTGAGGGAATTCTTCGCCGGAGACACCAGCACATTAGTTTCATTGCTAAGGTGACCGGCCACTAACGTGTTTGGCAAATGAAGCGATCACGGGTAAGTAGAAATGCAAACAATGTTGAATGAATATTAAGGTGGTTGTAGCCAGAGCCTGCCAGTTGAAATCAACCTTTAACAATATAGTCTGCGGTAACTTCTTTTTGCACTTAGGATTGCAATTTTAAACACAAAGCCACTCCACATAGCTGTCGAAAATCGTGTAAACAACAGCAGTCATCGTCCCCGGTTCGGATGAGCGAAGCCTTAGCTTGATGAAAAGAATGGCGGTCTATACTTCTTGGTTGTTTCAATCACAACCTCGCACAGCTGAACAGACAAACAAATCAAGGAAATATATCCCGCGCTGGCTTGCAAATCACAGCACACAAGCAGGGTACATAGCAGAGCAGAAAACACTGGCAATGAGCACACAGAGGCATGCAGCTTCCTTTCTTTTTCCCTCGGCGAATGATTGGTTTGCTGCAGCATTCCGTAAGCACGTCGACATTCAAA